CGAGCTCGTCGAAGCCGGCACGAGTCTGCGAGACCTGCCACAACCACCTCCTGGAGCGGTACTCCTCCTCCACCTCCTCCCACCCCACCAAAGTCAACCACTGATTTCGCGTCTCATTTGAGATTCCGACCGATGTCCGTTGATTTATTAACATCTTCCGAATCGATTTTGTATGCACTTTTTTTCTGGCCACGCTACTCACGCCAGGCCGACCTTTTCACCTGAATCTGTGGAAGAATCCGTCCACCACAATTGCCTTATGTGGCTGTGACAATGCTTGGTCGGGGCGACATCAGGTGAATGAAGAGGCTGCGTTTGTCAGGCGGGAGTGTTGATTGGCTGAGAGAACAGCCAATCAGACAATTTGGGAGTCAGATCGGACTTGGTATCAAAGATTCTCTGCGAGCCAACACGCGTTGGCCCTTTAGTGGGTTGCTTCACTGATTTTAGTTTGCTCAGTGCTTCCAGAAGCTAAAATATCCACGGTCGGCCGTGTTCCAGCACTTCTTGCCATTCTTCGATGGGACGATCAAGTCATTTTGGCTGAGACGGTCATAGTGCTCGCTTCTAGGCCTCACCTGATTGGTGAATATCTGTGTGGGTGATCCAGAGTCATTCGTGATTCCACGTTAATGTGGTTACTCGTATTTACACGGCGAGCATTTTGCAATGCACACAATGTTTCAAAAGGACAAATTTTAGCAGGTTATGAAAACAATTTTATGGCTTGGTAGTGTCGTTCAGATAGTTTGACCTCAAGAGGTTATGCCGTCACAAATTTGTCCATTTTCGATTTCCGGAAGCAAAATCGTGTCATTTCGTGGTTATTTAAGAAGATTCAAACGAATCGGTTGGTGTCCCATAGGCTAAGTACCATCTCTTAGTTTGTAAGCAATTAACCACATTTCACGTGCCTAAATACGTTTCAGCCCAATCACTGCGCAAAGACAATAAGCGGTTTAACCAATAGGGACTTTTTCTAGAAGCCGGATCAAGGTTATGTTAATTTACCAAGCGTCACATCTCTAGTATCGTGTAAGTTTTCTCACGCAAAACAAAGAACTGACAGATACCAGCAGAAGTTGTATTCTCACGCCACCATGTTTATCTTTCGGATCATGAAAAATCGATGTTTACTAAATTCGGTCGAATTGATCCGCTCGTTGCAGTGATTGGTTCGCGGGCTTTGTAAAAGTCCTCATGTTTTCATGAATTTTGACTCACGTAGAAAAGCGAAAACGATTTGGAAGTAGCTAAAGCGTATCGAAGTGACTGCACGACCACTGGTGGTAGCAAAACACCACATTTTATGAAATAAGCGTCGGCCATCTGTATGATTTCTATTGGCCAATGAAATGTCCCAGTGCATCGGATATTATTGTTGCGACTGCCTAGCTGCTGAATCCATCCAACCACAATTCTAGAAAGCTTTTAAGGGCTTAGTTAAGCTTTAATGTGAAAAAAAAACGATTTAAAACCCAGGTAAGCACATATCGAAGAAGTCGGTGGGACGCCACCATCTCTGACCTTGAAATATCACCATTCCACGTCACCAAAGCCAGTTTTTGCAATCTAGTTGGTGCCGCCGAATCAACACCAACCCGCGATAATGCGATGCGATTAAAAGTAGTTCGTTTTATTTCATCAAATACACCAGCCCGAAACCCAATCAAAATGGCGCCAGTTGGCGCCAATCAGAATGCCTTGTAGCGTTCGAAGCGCTACGTTTGAATTACAACTGCTGTGTTCTCCATCTCCAGCAGGAAACTGTGCACGCCAAATTAATTGATAAAGTCTACACATGAATTGACCATTAAGGTATCCCGTTTGTTCAAGGGAGCCAATTAAATTTATGAATTGGTGTAACGTCCGACGTTTGACCAATACCTAGACATAATCTGAAAAGGGATAGCCGTCTTGACCTTGTGTGGAGGGCAACTTTACTGTTGCATCCGAACGTCCAATTATGCGTGCTCTGGGCAACCTTGACAGCCAATAAACTTGGAGGAGCCAATGAGAAGTTGCGCGGCCGATATAAAAATGCAAATGTGTGTGCATGGAGGATTTTAAAAATAGAAATTACATACAAATCGTCAATTTGACGCAAACGAATGGCTATTCTGAAAAGTCGTAACTTTCAATGGGCCTAAAAAATAATAATATTAATAATCACGATTTGCAAATTCATGTGTGGATTAGTGAACACAAAAGCAATATTTAAAGAGACTGAAAAGCAAAAAAAATAAATAATTTATTTATTTAATCACGTTAAGTGAACCATGTGAGTGGGTAGGTATTTGACGTGGAAACCAGAATTTTCCTCAAGTTAATGCTTTTACCTTAACTTTGGAATTATGATCAGCCCAGTTTTGAATTCAAATCAGCCGCAT